GAGCATGATGTCCTTCTCCAGGGACCGGTCTCTCCTGACAATATGTCCAAAGTACGTGAGATAAAAATCTCACCATCCTTGCCTTTTAAGAACATTCTAGATGTACTTCTTCCAAGACACCCTTTGAGGCAGTTCTAATCTGCCCTGTAGGATTGCTGTAAAACAGAATCAGCTCAATGGGTAATCTTTACAGAGCAATTTTCCAGGTCTTCTCTCCCACGAACTAGCGAGTGGGTTCTAATTGCTGACTTCCAAGTATGGCCCTTGGGCTCCTGAATGAGAAATCAGGAAAGGCCTTGCAAAAAAAAAAGTACAGTATTGGGCACTGCTATTATATCATCTTTCTCTCTTGATGAATTCTGTGATCTAAATAAACTGGCTGATCCATGGGTTAAGAATACAGGCCTCATTAGCTTATATTTCTCCACTCAAAGGACCCATGTTGTCTTATTTATTGACAAAAGAATTCCATCCTACAGCAGGTGTTTTCCTGCCTGGGCCTGCCACAAAAGTGTCCTGGCGTGTGAGCTGCTCTTTGGGTTTCAGTTTGAAAGCTGGACACTTCTCCTCGTGGCAGGGTGGCGGGACAAGGCATGCATCAGTGGCCCTCCAGTTAATGGGTTTCTGGCTCGAGTTAAGCCTCCTGCTGTGTTGATAGACATCCTTTTGATCAAGCTGAGACTAAACTACTTGGAGATACATTTTACTTGATAAAAACATTTCAACTAAGAACCCAGAAAGTGCTTTACAAACACTTCACCCTTCCGCCAAATAGCTCAGCAGGGTGAGTGGCAGGTGGCCGGTGTTGTACATAGGCCTCCCTTGAGTTAGAAAGGATGATCTGCCTGGGGAGTTACAGGGGCTGGGAAAGGGCTGGTCTTTGAAGGTGAAGGACAGAGAGAGGAGATATTCAAGACCAGTTTCTTTCTTCATATTAATGTAGCACGCTCATTCAAAAATGCGAGACTTGTTCTTTTCATCTAATAATGCTCATGAATACTGACTTTAGTGTACCTTTGCCAGATTCCTGGTACAATGGAGTTAAAACAACCAGATATTAGAGCAAAATTTTAGTTAGTTTTTGCCTAATTTGTCATCTTAGCATGATATGATAAGCTTTAAATAGATTTTGGCCAAAACCATGTTGTCCAATTGATGTGCATCAACTATGAAAAAAACCCTCAAAATATGTAAACATGAAGTTATTACATGCAGAGATTATAGAATAAAATGTGACCTTTTAGCTTATTTCAATTAAGATATGAGTTGGAAAAATAGGCAGTTTTGGAGGAGAAATTGCACTAAACTAAGAGAAGACTCTTTTTTTTTAAGAACTAAAAACGATGTTTATTGTTTTATTTTAATTGAGTATTACTTTTTACATTTCTATATATTTTAATTCAGTTAATATAAATGTACATAATTCATGCAAACAAATTTGCGTCACTTAATCATCTTTTTTCCCTTTACACTATCAGATTCTTTCTTTTAATTCATTATTAATCTGTAGTTAATATATATGTCATATCTTTGCACAGTTCAATCACGTCAAGCAGTATTGTACAATTGTTTCTGCAATCTGTTTCCAAATATTCTTTTCCTTCCTGGACTCCTTGACATCGCCTTTTACCCGCGCCCCGCCCCCCCAAGAATCTTGTTGAGCTAGATTACCACAAGCTACCCCAACATAACAATGCGGAAAGGGTGTCTTATAGAGAGTCGATTAGAAAGCAATATTGTTTGTTATCTAGGGGAGGTAAAATGATACCAGGGATGAGAGAAATGTTTGCGAGAGGTGAAAAGTGATAGATGGTTTTAAGAGTTATGTATATTCAGATTCCAGGTTTCTGTTTAGGGCAGCCATAATATTAAACACAGAGAGACGAGAAACTTCACACGAGGAGAAAAAATAATTTGGGTGGACAACTCTTGGAATTTGGGGGGATTTTTTTTTAATCCCTTTAGCTCAGCGGGTCATGAAGACATCCAAGGGCGGCTGCTCCATCCGGAGTTGTGTCCAAGAGGTTAAAACGCTGGAGCGGCTCCTGGACTAGAGCTCAATCCCGCTGGTCATTAGCATATACATGAAAAAGACATTCCTGTGTAGGAACATTGGAGAAGAAAATCGATCCGATGACTGATTTTGAGGATAAATAGCATTTTAGAGAATATGAGAGGAGGAAGCTGCAGAGGACAGTAGGAAGAACTGGGCAGAGAAGAGACAGAAAATGAAGGAAGACTAATATATGCAGAGGAGCTTTTACCATATAACCATATAAACCATTGTGAAGAAGTCAACAAGAAAAGGGGGAGCCAAAGGTAGTGAGTGACATGGTAGTCCTCGATTGGCTTTGGCAAGACACTAGTCATGGGACAGGAGGCTTCAGCCGAGGTTAGGAAGTAAGGAAAGGAGACCAATGGGGAAAAATTCTTCTTTTCAAGAAACTTGAGTCAAAAGGAGAGCATCTGCAACAGGTCGTCTTGAAAGAAGAGTTGCAAAGAGTTAAGGTGTTTTTCCTTTTTGATGAAAGAGAAACAATCTGTTAATAGCAATCATTTTAGTAAGCGTTGTTAAGAGGAGGGAGATAAGAGTTGCAGGAAGAGAATATGGAATCCATGCAGGGTGTTTTTTGTTTATATCTGATGTCAGAGATTGCAGTCCATTGTATTACAAATGGAAGGAACTGGTGCTGAAGCAGTTTCAAATTTTCAATAAAGGAAATAGTTAATTGCCCATAGTCTAAAAGAGGAGCTGGGGCCTAGAGCTTCAGTTCAGGGTTCATTTTGCCTAGTAGTCCCTCCTGTGTGAGCGCCGTTACTGTGAAAGGGATAGATACAAGTTCAGATACGTGGAAGAAGAAATTTTACAGGATATGCGTGTGGTGACTCTGTTCTTTTTTTCCCTGACATTGAATATGTTATCAAAGGTGACATTGAAGCCAAAGGATGATCCTAGAAGGGAAAAATCATTCAAAGCTAGACAGGCCCTGCTGACCATTAAGTCTGGGGAAAGAGAGGAGGCATAAGTGCCAGATCTGTGGCATGAACACTCAGAAAGATCTGGAATTAGCCCCAAAGTGAAGTGGGGAGTGGAAAGGGACTCAGTTGAGGACCTACGAGGCATCAGTTGGAAAGCTGGGTTTATGAGGGGTTTGCTCCTAGAAGTCTCTGGGTGGTACATACAGGGAGTTCATGTGCTCAGCTCAGAAGGTGGTGGCCCAAGTCCACCCAGAAGCCCCTTGGAAGAGAAAGGCCATCAGACCAGTCCCGGGGAAAGAACATCATGCTTGGTAGAGAGTCAATAACACAGAGGAAGATCCTCAACAAGAGGGATTGACACAAGGGCGGCTGACACAATAACAATGGGCCCGAACACAACAACAATTGTCAGCATGGCACAGCGTTGGACTGTGTCTGCTTCTGTTGTATCGTGTTGTGTTATGTTATTGTAAATCAGAGCCAAGTCGACTGCGTCTAACAACAAAAACCCTACTGAGCACACTTCTATTCTGTCACATGGGATGGACATGAGTTGAAATTAACTCCTCAGGAATTGGTTTTTGAGGACGGAAAGGCCGAGATGGATGGCTTGAATTTGCCACAGAACCTGGTAGCTCGAGGCTTTGCGTGACTTTCTAGCAAAGTCTACAGTTTTTAGGTTCAGTTTGTTTAAAAGCCAATTCGAAATGTAAGATCAATCCGTGTAGACCCCCTAGCAGCATGTTGTGCTCCTTTTCCTCATCAACATTAGTGTTGCTGTTCTTTGGATGAAATTTAAATAACAATCGAATAAGAATTAAACAGGACAAGTTGAGAACACAAAATCACGTGTGACCAAGTCTCACAAGAGAGAGATAGTAGAAAAGGAATAACTTGGGGAGGGAAAAAAAGTGGTAAATAAATGAAATTGATGGACAAAGACTTCTCAGAGATAAGCACACAGTACAATCATCACAAATTGGTGTCCTTTATCCTCTTAGCTACTCCTCAGAGACAATACAAGGAAGTGGGACCCTGTCCTCCATAGACTGCAGAATGAGCGACTGGAGCGAATGGTCACCATGTGACCCTTGCCTCAAACAAATGGTAAGTCTTCACCCCCATTCCCCTTGACCTTTTCCTGGTGGTGCTGTTGGGTAAGATTTGGACTGCTAGCCACAAGGTCAGTGATTCAAACCCACTAGTCATCCCAGGGAGAACGGAGTCTTCCTGATCTTGGCTGTCTACGCCTGTAAAATAAGCTGACAGTTTCCAAAACCCTATTGAAGGTCACCATGAGTCAGAGTCAACTTGATAGCAGTGGATTCGGGGTTATTTTTGGCTTCCAAGTGGAAACTGCATTGTGGAGGCTTCTGCACAACAGGGAGATGAGTATGAGGCAGGAGTCCTCCAAATGAGCTCCAACCCCAGAGAGAAACATCCAAGTGCAGGTAACTCTGAATGTGGCAAGAAATACAATATGCGTGTCAGTAACAGCCAGTTTCTGTATGCGATGATGACAAAGCGTGGGATGTGACGTGTCACTTAAAGCAGCCTTCACTGTTGTTGTTATTGATAGTTGTCATCCAGTCGACTCTGATTCAGGGTGACCCTACGGAAACTTCTGTTTGTCTATTAAGTGAAAGATTGACCATTAAAATCCCCAGAATGCAGTGAAAGAACTGCTTATTTGGAAAGATA